TATATATGTTTCATCTTAATTAAATATTAAATTTGAACTAGCATCACCAAAGACATAAGACCCTTTGCAAATATTTTACACAACAATGGGTTTGGGATGTGTGTGCCTGTTAGCTCAAACATGTATCCCCAACTATTTGTTTTCCATGCAGTTTTGGAATTTAAAGAGTTTCCTTCTCATTACCTTTTGGGAAGTTTCCGAGAACAGATGGGAAGGGGAAACAAGAAAAAGAATGAGTCTGGGTAAATACAGACAGCTTTCCGCTCACCTTTTTAACTCCTGGGTTGAGGTCCTTAGCCACCTTTGCCATCCTCTTCTGGGGTGGAGGAACAGCGCCTGGCTTCTCAGGCAGAGGCGCGAGGGCGCGCAGCGGGGACAGCGGCTGCTGAATGGCCAAGTTCGCGGGCCTGGGAGGGAGCTCTATGCGCAGCCAGGCGCAGCTGGGCCGCTTTAATTGGAGAGCGGGACTCCCTCTAAAACCTCGCCAGCCACTCCGCGCAGGCGCTCGCGCGAGGCCAGCCAATCGCAGCGCGAGGCTGTCCCTGACGGAAGGTTTCTGCACTGTGGCCGCTAGCGTAGCGGAGCGCTGGCAGCCCTGACGTCAGCATGGCCGCGGCCCCTGACTGCCCGGTTCGCTTCTATCCCTCGAGCGGCAGGAATCCGTCCCCACGCCCTTTTCCTTTAAAGGGCAACGGGCCGAGGGTGGGGCGGACGGCGCGGCTCCCGCGATCCATTCAGGTCAAAAGGGAGAGTGATCAAACAGGAGGGCCGAGGTATTTTTAGTGAGCTGGATCCAGAAATAAATGTTGAGCTGTGCTCCCCTTCCCACCCTTTCTGCCTGGTCGTAGGGGGCGCGGGGAGGGCCGAGGGAGGAGGTGTTTTGCAGGAGCTGGCTAACTTTTCCCAAACCTGGGCGAGTTCTCCAGTACCCAGAGAGGAGAAAAGATTCAGCGAGTTATGAATTTTTTTAACTTAACATTTGTAAAGTATTAAACTGCTTTCTCATAACTTGCTTTAACATAAATCCTCTCTATTCCATGAGCAAGAAATCACTGTCCTGATCTTAGAGATGCTCCTAAGGACATATTGTCTTGTTGTATGCTTATATTATCTCAGGTATGATTATTATTATGACTCTAAGACGATAGATGAGGAAATAATCAGAGAGAATTACTGGTCCACAGCTGAACTCTTGAGCAAGGCTTTAACCTGAGAGACTGAGAGTAAGAGACAGAGAGAGCTCATGGGGTGGGGCTTGGGGGGGGGCACAGGATTGTAAACTATAAACTGGTAAGTTAGTAATTTTTAGATAAATGGGGTCATGCAGGCCTGGACAAACAAGATTCCATCTGAGTTCACAAATCCATGGAATGTGGAGTCCTTGCAACACATAACATAACTACTCTTGTAAGACAGAATTGGCCAGGTTCCTCTCTCTATGTCATGTTGTTTGCCCATAAAGCCACATCTCTTTGCTGAGCCGGTTCCACAAACTTGGATTCCCAGAGGCATTTCCCCCTGCCCTGACAGAGGATTAAACACAAGCCCTTTTTATCCTAGAGAGAATACTGCCGTCTCTGTTGTGAGGGGTTCGGCCTGTAACGCCTCTTTGCAGTGCCCCCTGCTAGAAACCAGGGCTCCTGTGGGCTAAAATAAAACTCGGTTGCACAGAGACTGAACAGTGGTTCCGAAGTACACCGTTCGGGAGGGATTTGCTGAGAGGGGGAGGCTGCAGTTCCCATTCTGGGGGCTGTCTCTTGCTGGAGGCTTTTTCCTCTTGAAAGCCTCCTCCAATTTAGTTCTTATCATTGTCTCCAGTCATCCCAAATCTCGGCCAGGGATCCTGAATTGTGACTTTTTATTACACATTCCTGGAAAGGGCTTTCTATTTGTGGCTTTTCTTTTCCAAGATGAGGGTTGACCTATTTCTTCTTTCACAGATTTCTGCTATAATTGATTTTTGCCTTGTTTGCTCCCAGCTGTATCCTCAAGTACCTAGCATGTGATATAGGCTCAGTACACATTTGGCAAATGAATAGAGGTTGGGTTCTGGCTTTTATATATTTTTTAATTGATATGTAATGATCGTACATATGATATTTTGATACATGCTTACAATGTGTAATGATCAAATCAGGGTGTTTAGGATTTCCATCACCTTGAACATTTATTATTTCCTCGTATTAGGGACATGTCGAATCACTTTTAGCTTTTTTTTTTTTTTTTTTTTTTTTTCAGAGTCTTGCGCTGTTGCCCAGGCTGGAGTGCAGCAGCACGATCTTGGCTCACTGTAACCTCCGCCTCCCAGGTTCAAGGGATTCTCCCACCTTGGCTTCCCAAGAAGCTGGGACTACAGGCATGAGCCACCATACCTGGCTCATTTTTGTATTTTTAGTAGAGACAGAGTTTCACCATGTTGGCCAGGCTGGTCTTGAACTCCTGACCTCAAGTGATCCTCCTATCTCAACATCCTAGAGTGCTGGAATTACAGGAGTGAGCCACCACACCCAGCCTCTTTTAGCTATTTTGAAGTATACAATTCATTGTTGTTAACTATAGTCACCCTACTGTGCTATTGAATACTAGACTTTTTCTTATTATCAAACTGTGTTTGTTCCCATTAACCAACCTCTCTTAATTCCCTGACACCCCAGCCCACCACTTCCCAACCTCTGGTAACCTTCTACTCTCTACCTCCATGCAGTAAGCAGGCAAGGTAAGAATAGGGAGAGATGGCGCAATGGCACACCTGGCCTGGTTTGTCCAAACTTCCAAGGTGGGCTGCATGTTAAACCAGTATGTAAATAAACAGTGGTCAACAGAAGCCTGGCTTGGGAGAGGAGGTTTCCACATGAATAGTCCTTTCAGTAGCAAATCCTAGGAACAATAGTGCTAAATCAGGATGTCATGTCAGAAGCTTTTATATTTTAGAGCTGTGGGAACAGAAGCCAGGAATATAACAAAGGCAAGCTTTATCCCTTTCAAACCAGGCAAAAGCCTGCCCAGTGAAGTCATTTCCCACTCCCTTCCCAGCCACCCTCCTTGCCCCATCTTGAAAAAATATTGTTCCATGAAATAATACTAATTTATTAACTTTAACACTATTTATTAATAGCTCCAACCACAAGAGTCTCTTCCCTTCCTTATTTTTACCCTTGGCTCCAGGTACAATTAAGGAGGCAGATATTGCAGCTGTTTCTCAGAATTTCTCAGAATGCGAGTGTCAGGAGCTACTGCTCGGGGTGGCTCATTCCCTCCTTTCTGGAAAAAGACCTGCTGTAGGCAGAGAGGGGATCCCTGCTCTCTGCTAGAAGTTGCTGTCTCCTCAGTTGAGGATTCTGACTTTGACACTTTAAACCTTACACTTGACCCACTTGTTCCAGGGGACCTGTATTCAGAGACTTAGCCAGACACCTGGACAGACTATTACAACTTGGGACTTTTTAGGAGAATGAGGGAAATATAGTTATTTCACCTGAGCCTCACTCCAGCTCTGAGGTCCTCTTCACCTCTCTTTGGAAGAAAATTGGATATCTTTTCCAAGTTGAAAGAGTAGAGATCTGATTTCTCCAAGGGTCATTGCTTTTTGACACTGGGGCTTATTAGAAGCATTCATTCATCTATCAAGGAGTTTTGGGGTACGTGCCATAAGCCAAGCCCTCTGATAGGTGCTAGAGATATCAAGGTAAATAAAAGAATCCTTCTCCTTGGAGAACATCTTGGTCTAATAACTGTTTCTGGGGCTCTCTGGTTGACAAAGCCCTAATCTTACTTGAACTCCAAGACAACCAGTCTCAGAGAAAACCGAAATCCCAAACAGTCCCAGGGCTGTATCAAAGGTCATACAGCTGGCAAGTGGCAGAGCTGAAATTTAAATTCAGAGTTTTTAACTTCAGATTGCACCCTTTCACCTATACTGCACTGCTTCCATAATGATTGCAGATGGTCAATTATAAGCAAAACAGGAAGCACTTGGATTAAGATGCTGCTGCTGTTGTCCTCATTTTCACTGGTCTTGTCCTAACTGGGATTTTTGACTCTGAGTTTTGTATTCTTTTTACCATTCATGAATGAATTAATTAAACAAACAAACAAAGATTGAATTGGGAAATACTATGGGTTAGGCCATGAGCTGAGGATGCAACAGTGAATAAGACAGGAAATGCCCCTCCCCTCATATAGCTTCTATTCTAATGTGTGTAGGGGGGAACAGGCATTAAACAAGTGGACAGATATTTAGATCAGGTAATTAAGGATGGCAGTGAGTGCCTAGGAGGAAATAAATGGAGAAATTCATTGGATGCAGTCGTTTTAGATCAGGGGATCCAGGATGGCCTGGCTGAACAGGTGGTGTGTGAACTAAGCCCTGATGAAGGAGAATGAGTCAGCTGTGAGTAGAGTCCCCATAGAGAGAACATTCCAGGAGGATGGGGTCATGAGTGGAGAGACCCTGAGGTGAGTGCAAGTGTGGTGTGTCTGAGGGATCATGAGGTCAGTGTGGTGGGACAGGGAGAATGGTATGAGGAGCCTCAGGTGAGGCATGCAGGAGCTGGCTCATGTAGGCCCTATAAACCATGCTAAGGAGTTTACATTCTCTTCTGAAAGTGGTGGGAGGTTAGACATCAGTGCTTTCCCACTGGAACACAATGCAAGCCATGTGTGTAATTTGACAATTTCTAATAGTCATATTAAAAAAATCAGAAACAGGTGAAATAGTTATTATATATTTTATTGAACTCAATTTAACTAAAATGTTGTCATTCCCACCTGTGATTAATATAAAAATTATTGAGATGGTTTACACTTTTTTTTGTGCTTTGTCTTTGAAATCTGATGTGTGTTTTACCCTTACAGCATATCTGTCTTCAGTTTAGCCACGTCACAAATAACTCAATAACCACCTCTGGCTGGTGGCTTCCATCTAGCTACCATCAACCACATCTGGATGGTGGCTACCATATTGAGCAGAGCAGTTATAGAGAGTCTTAAGCAGGGGAATGACAGTGTCTGATTTACTGTGTTACTCAGAGCAAGGACACCAAAAGGCGTTAATGGAAAGCTAGCCAGTAACTCACAATGTCTCACTCTCAGGCGGAGAAACTGAGCAATTAAAAACTGGTAATTAATTGGTGCAGTATGGTCTACCATGTGTTCTAAACACTGCACTGGTAGGCACACGTGATTTTGTCAGAGTCACAAGGCTAGAAAGGGGCAGAACTAGAAAGACCTTGAACCCAGATCTTTTGGTTTCATGCCAACATCTTCATAAATTCCCAATAATCATGGCTCATAATGATGTTTTTACTATTACAATGTAGCAAGCAGGGCCCAAGTTATTTCGATGTGAAAACATGAATTGTATGTTCTGTTTATATCATTAAATAGTATACTAGTTAAATTAAATTATAACCAAATCCTATTTGGATATTTTTTTTTACATATTGTATTCATTGAACACAACTAACACTTAAGGATCGGTAGACAGAAATGGTCCATGGAACACAGTATATCTGAATTAACTAATATAAATATACAAGAACCTTCTACATTAATTTGTGTCAACGTGGACCATCATTTTACCATATATATGTGAATTATTCACAACTTAAGGTTTTTGGTTTCTTTCCTGTCATTTTCATGGTAACTTTCACTTTAGAATAACTGTCTAATTTTTTCCAGATTTTTGGATGACCTCTTAGAACCAGAAAAGTTTTTGCCTATAAGGCTAAAACATCTGGATAAAAACAGAACATAATTGTTGGTCCCAAACAGTGTCTTGCCTTGCAGTCTTTGACAAGGGAAGTGGAAACACAAGGAAAATGTGCCTGTTACAAAATAACAATAGATCAGGACTCTGGAGCCCTGCATTTTGATCCTGGTTCTGCTAAAAATGTGACTGACCATCATCTGGCAATTCAAATTTGTCAAAATTTACTGGGGGAAAGTGATAAACTTGCTCTGCACATCAGTCACACATCCCACCTGATGGTGCAATGGGGTCATTCCCTTCTTTGACAGATTGATAAGGGAGTGGAAGGCACATATGCCTAAGTCCCAGAAAATCTGCATGTTTAGCTCCATCACAGGGGCAAGCTGGGTGATTTGAACAAGATACTTTGGAGTCTCTGTGAAGTTAGTGGTATTGTTGCATAGCATAGAAAACCAATGCACTATCATCCCCATCTTTCCTGGTTCTGTTTTAAAGATTTAATTCTCTTGGAGTAAAAAAGCTTGGTACCTATTTTTAAATGAAGGTTTCATTTAATTGATTCTTGATTCTTATACTTTCCTGGGGCACTAAGTGCCATAAGCTGAGTATCTCGTTTTTAAAGCAGCATTTTCTCTTATTCTAGCATCTAGGAGATGACTCTAGCTATGGTCCTGGAGGATTTAATCATATTACACATTTAAGTTAACTAGTGTACTATTTAATGACACATCTAGCCTATCCATCTTCTGAGGGTGTGTGTGGATGTGGTCAAGCCTCTATCATTTTTGTTTCGGGCAGCAGAATTGGAGAGGCCCCCATTCTGGGTAGCTGGAAGGAAGTGAACACATGCCTTTTATTTCCAATGTGCCATTAGTGCTTTATAAGTTTAATCCTTAAAACCCCAGGGGAAAGTGTGTTATTCCTACTTGCAGATGAGAGACTGAAGCTCTGCTGGGTTAAGTAAGCTGTTCCAGGCCTTGTCGCTAGTTGGAATCCAAACTTACCCTGCGATTGCTCAGAAGACCCCTGGTTTCAGGGTGAGGACATAGCCTGGACAAGGATAGAGACACTGGACCCCCAGCCTTTGGGAACTATTCTGGATATTTTCCATGTGCCCCTCAGATTCACTCTCTTCCCTCTTCCTTCAGCTCTGTGCCCAGGAAGTTGACCCTTGGACTCCATCCATGAACTCCTTTGCTGTCTTCCACTGGATTCAGCCAGTCTGAGGTAGGAGATCAGGGGTGGGTGTATTTGTTCTCCCTCTGCCTCCCTGTTGGGCTAGGCAGGGTTTTGGAGGGGTTGGCATCCTCCCTACCTAAAGCCACAGCTCCCATTGGTCTGGTGACTGCTCTCTCCCTTGGCCTCTTCAGGCCTAGGGGTGGTCCCTGCTTCCCACTGTTGTGGGAACAAGTGGAGAGTCCTTGAATCATGCCTTCTCCTTTATAAATAACCCCTTCATTAAACTCCCTCCAGCTACCCCTTTGAGTGTTTCCAGCCAGAACACTAACCCACGCAGACACAACAGTGAGTTTGAGAGATGATCCTAGGGCAGCCTTAGATGGCTTGCTCAGATATAGTCTGCCCGGTATGTTTCTTTTATATTATCTTTGTCTATTAGTATATGGATTAATTAAAATAATTGAATTGAAGACTTGGAAATGAATTAGAATAGGAAAACCAGTTTGAGGTGTTGGGAAGACAAGACAAAAATTTAGCAGCCTTCTAGATTGATCTGTTGGCTGCTCTTGAGTCATAAGGAAACTGACTGCTGAGTTCTTCCTCAGCCACTGACAGTGACTTTAGGCACTGAGTCCCTTGTGCCAGGGTCTCCTCATCTTTAAAAATGTGGCCTCTTCAAGTATGGGAACAGCCTTATTAAAGAAACACAAAGAACACGAGTGATGCCAACAGTCAACACCATCAATATTTTCACGGGGTCATGGAAAATAGCACCAGGGCCTCTCACTGGGCCATGAGGCGACAGGTGGGCAAACACTTCTCGTGAGTGGTTTCCTTCACTTTCTATGTTGTGCTTTTCCCTCAGCTAATCTAATCCTGAGCCATCGGACTTCTTATGGTCAGGAATACCTATACATAAAAATGACTTGTAAGTTGAAGATGCAAGAGAAATATTGTCATTAAAATAATTATCAATAAAAATTGCCCCTAAAAAGTAGGGCTTGCTGTGAGGAGTGGATTTGGGGCTGTCTGCAAAAGTATGGTTTGAGCCCTGATGGCCTGGATTCCTGGACCAGGGGGACCAGTTGCACTAATCTCCTCTTGATTCTTTGGGGATTAGGTGTGAGTGTGAGGTAGTGGGGAACCTAGAGCAATTTGCTGAGCTGGACCTTCTTACTGAGCTGAATCTCTGTAATTTGCTGACCCAAAGGTAGAGTTTGCAGTGGGATATAACCAAGTCCTTGTCATTATCTACGTGTCCCTCAGGGAATCAGGTGTCGCTATGACTCACTGAGAAAGTGTGTTGTATAGGATTAAGGAGCAATACAGCAGTTTCAAGTTCTTAGTCTAAGAATCACTTTGATTCTTGGGGGAAAGGGAGAGTAGTGGCAGGGGTGAACTAGCTTCCAGGGGGCTGGGTTGCGGATTTACAGTAGCCTGTCAAAGAGGGAACTGTCAGCTTCGAGGGACATGCTCAGGATAATTGGTACCAGGTGCTGTTTCTGAGCTACCACCAACATGACATTGCCAGGCTCTAGCCACACAAAATTTCACTGCATCCTCCTGACACTCTCCTGAGTCAGGCGATCTTATCTCCATTTTGCAGAAGAGCAAACTGAGCCCTGGGGATGTTAAGTAGTTTTTTCAAGCTCACATAGCTGGTTGCAGAGCCTGAAATTGAACCCACATGGGTCAGACTTCAAAGTTAACACTGAGAAAAAGGACAAAACCACAGCTAAAATACCAGTGACCACTTCTTGGGTAACTACTATGTGCCAAGCTGTGCTGTGCTACGGGACCTGGGATAGAAATAAAAACCACTTCCTTTCCTTCCTACCCATCACTTAACACCTGTGGGCTAATTGTAGGTGACCCTCAATAACCTAATTATGTGGCCTATTTAGAATAACATTCCAGTTTAGAATAACATTCTACCCACCAGTAAGTAGGGAAAATTGGGAATGTTCCCATCAGGGGATCTCTAATTAGTGAGTGGAGGAGGGAAATCTTATAGCACCTGTGTTCTCCAGGAGAACTTAAGAGACAGAGAGGAGATAAAAATCAGTATAATTAAAGCCTTAGCATTTTTCCCATTATCACATTTTCCATTCTGTTTGCCATGTTGGCATTTTAATTTTCCAATGCCTTCTGGAAAACATGATGTTACCTGGCAACATTGCCCCGTGGGATGTTGAAATCATGTCATTTTCTAGAAAAAAAATGGTGAAGATGCTTCTGAATGTTACCTGTGTCTGAACTCCTGTCTATGAACCTGCATCATTTGTGATTGGAAATAATTTCTGTAGCTTGGGCTCAAGGCCAAAATTAGACTCAATTGTGAAGGAGGGGATGTCTGCCCTGATCCATTTCCTCCCAGTTTCTCACCCTTCCTCAGTGATGAAATTATCTGCCCGATCATGTCCCTCTGACCTAGTGTCCTAGTCCTTTATGTCTCACTCCGTGCTGAAGCCTCATTATTCATTTGCTGCTCATCAAAGTTTACCTGTCCTGCCTACTGTCCTCTCAGTGCCCTGTCTCACCTTCCCCTCACTGGGTTGAGCAGCATACTTTTGAGGAAAGAGTGAGGGTTTCCAAGTCAGGCATATCTGAGTTTGAACCCTAGCTCCATCACTTGTTAGCTATGTGGCCACAGGCAAATGGACTTCTCTCCCAGGTTGTTCTGGCTGTTAAATGGAAATGATGAGCCCGGCATCGAGAGGGAGGCATCTAGCTGAAGTGAGATGATGTGCATAGAGCACCCACCCATTGCCTGGCACAGAGTCACACCCATAGTTCTCCCAAGATTCCCTTCCTTTTTAATGTCCACCTAGTTCTTCTTTGTTTGTCATGAATTGGATTCATAATAACAGTTCCCCATATTGCTTTCTTCATCACCAGGGAGATGAAACTGTCTTGTCAGACTGATTCTGCAAAGATTCTTTTACATGCATGTCTGCAATAGGGAGTAGCTGCGTGCAGGCAAGGGGGATTAGTAAACATCTTCCCAAAGCAAACAGAGGGGCTGGGAGCTGGACAGAACCTCAAAGGTATCGTATCCCCCAACTTTGTAGCATCCCAACAGGGTGTGCTTCCCTCTGCTTGGATGCTTTCCATGGCAAGCAGCTCTTTTTTTTTTCCTTTTTTTTTTTTTTACCAGCCAGTTCCAAGTACTTTTGGACAGCTCTCACTGTTAGAAGGTTCTTCTTTACCTTGGGCTGACATCTGCTTTCCTGGGGCTGTCACCCTTCTGTGCTTTTCCAGCCTCTGGAATCTATTCGAAAGGCTCTCCCTTTCCCGCATGATGACAGTTAATCTATTAGAAAGCTAGGATCATGTGCATGAGAGGTCTTCTCCTCTTCTCCCCTCTGTGTTTTAGGCACTATGGTACTCTGCTTAAGTTTGATTCCACCATTATATTCCACTTTGTGGGCAGTGCCCCCCGCCCCCCATCTCAGTGGGCTGGTATGACCTGTAAGAGGGTAGAAGTTCCTGCTTTGGAGTCAGACAAATTTGGTTCAAATCCCTGGTTGGCTACTTACCGTGATCCTCAATCCACCTATTATAAAATGGAGGCAATACTACCAACCTCATAGTCCTGGCACACAGATGAAACGAACAGCGTGCAGCTAGTGCCTGGCATGGAGAAGTTGTTTGGTACTTGGTAGCTGTACTGTATAATTATTTTCTAATTGCCAGGTAGGTAGCTATCATGTTTGGTTCTCTGAGAAACTCTTTCCAGTGACATTTAAGATTTTGCTCAGGCTACATTTGGAAGTCAAGTCTTCCCTAGTGACAAAAAATGGCACTAAGTAAGTGTTCCACTTATCACAATCACAGATTTTTAGGAGCAAAATAGGATAGTCAGCATGTTGTTCAATGGCCATTTTAGTTTGTTCCCACAAGGCAGGTAATAATTTAAAAACATAGTTTGGATATTCTGTGACTAAACATGCACATCCCAAGAGGCCCCTTGGGAATGCAGCAGAATTTCCAGACAGCCATGGGCAGAATTCCAAAGCTTCTGAAAGATGAGTGTGTTCGTGGCTGATGAACAAGGTATGAAGACACCAAATCCCCCTGACAAAGTCCAGCAATGCCTTGCTGCTGATCAGTCTTTCTGGAAAGACTGGATGAGCTCACCCAGAAGAAAAGAATGGGTAGGAGATTTCAGGAAAGATTCTTACTTATCAGAAATCAGGCTTTAAAAGTTTTGGGCCTTCCTGTTGATTCTCCCAGCTTTTCTCACAACCCAAGACACATGGTTTAGCAATGACGTCATCTGACATGGATAGTCACACTGAAGTCAGAAGCTGTCAAACAGATCCTGGATTATGATGGAGGGTGGGAGGGATGTACAATTTGAGGGCTATGTGAATGTGAAGTGAGTGCTTTGCCGTAGGGTATTACTCCCTATCCCATCACTGATGGGTAGCAAAAACAGAATTAAACTCTTCAATATATTCAGAAATGGTTATTATGTGTTCCTCTAAAGACTTTACTATTTCCTAGGTAAAATCTACAATTCTGTAGTCCTACCTCTTGTCATGCTAGCAAAGTACTTTTATATACTCCAGTTGAATATAAATGGCCAACTTCAATCCTTGAGTTTGTTCTTTTTTTCATTGAATCACTCAGTTATTCAATCTGTGGAGCAGTCTTTCAGGCATTTAACAAATAACGATTGCACATCTCTTTCTGTATCAAGAGCTCTGCTGGGCATGCAGCAATGTAAAAAGACACACACAGGATTCACTCTCCTGGGGAAGACAGATGTTAAGCAAACAATTACAACAAAAGGTAATGAATGGGAGCATTATGACAGGAAAAGAATGGGCCTTGAGGCAAGAAAAGTTGAGTTTGGCTGGCGCTTACAGTTCTCTATTACTGAAAGTATCAGATTCCAGTGGCTTAACTTCTAGGACATCTAAATAAATAACTCCAAACACTCCTCCATTAGAAAGAGTAAGAACTAACATTTGTGGAGCTCTTGCCATGTGGGTAGACACTGAGCCAAGCCCTTTACAAAGATAGTCACACTTAATCCTCCCAATAATCCTAGAGTT